ACAGTGTATACTTCTTGACAGAGATGATTAGCTCTGCTAGCCGAGGATTTGTTTAGGACAGTAATAATTATATTCTTGGGTTGTCTTGCTACATTAAATAAATAGTGTTTCCTGCTTGAGGTTCAAAGTTGAATCTTAAAGTATCATTGACTCAGTACGTTCATTAGTACATTTTAATGCTTTTGACAGGCTTTTTTTTCCCCCCTCTTTTTAAGGTATATTTTTATCCCTGCTCAAATCCTCTTCCTTTGCTGAGCAGCTGCCATTTCAATATGTTATTTTTATCCACACGAGTGAGTGTGCTCATGCTGCATAGCCAATGACAGCCTGCAGAAGCCTTTCCCTGGAGACTAATTGCATCTTCTTTGCAGTGTATTTGGCCTTCGTGAGCTGAGCCTGGGATCCAGAGACTGATTTTTGAATCTGGGTCTTCCAGATGGCAATTTGAGCATTACTGTAATAGTAGTAGATTGACTAAATATTTCCTTGTTAAGTGACACTGAAATGTCTTTAAATACTTTATAACCGCAGACTGTTTTATTACTGAAATATCCTATAGTTCAGTTCAGGATATAAGGTTATTGCCTGGAAATTATGCAAGGTGAAATGGATTAAAGAAGCAGGCCAGTACATCAGCTTCTAGCACTTCTGTAAAATTTGGGTGTGAATAGCTCAGTATCTGCATGAATTCTATGAGTATGAAATAGTCTCTAAAGACTAAACATACGCACAAAAAGGAAGGTTTTTGAAGTAGCGTAAGGTCAGAGGATACACACAGACTCTGGGAGTGAGAGTCAAATAGCAGCTCTGCATTTTAGAGATGGAAAGCCAGAATGATGAGGACTGGCCCCATTCAGGATTTCTCTGAGCAAGCAGATACATCTAACTGGGTTTTTTGGTTTTTTTTAAGAAATTATCACCTACTTTCTTCTCATCTGAAAGCCTTGTTTCAGCTGTGAAGAAAGTAGGTAAATCTTATGAAGCATTCTTTGGTGGAAGGGATCAAAATAGTTTTGACAGCATTTTCTGAACATCGGGTGATAAACTGAACTAGTTGTTTCTTTTTTTAGCTGTATGGATTATGCAACATATTCATATTAATTGAGTAGAATGGGCCATTTGGTTTCCTATATGATCCAGAAAATTAATGATAATCTCGTGAGAATCAGTCCCAATTTTTGCCAAGGGCTAAATAACAAAGGCTATGATTCTTTTTGGGGAAGTGATCCTTTATAAATGCACAGGACAAAATCTGAGCTATTTTAAAATGTAAAATAATAGATTTCAGGTTTTTCTTAAATTTTAAAACCACTTTTGTTTTCATAGCAGTGAGGAACACTTGAGGTTGGTGGCTAAGATCAACCTTTCTTCCCCACTCTTGTTCTTTGCAAAGAGGTACATGATCTAGTTCCTGAGTTCTGAAGGTCAAAGGCCTCTGGCCGATGCGAACGCCTGTGCTGACACCGCAGTCGTCTTCGTGTCTCTGCTGCCACTTGTGCGTGAGCGAGCGCTCGCAGGGGAACCAGGCTGGTCGTACCTCAGACTTCTGAGAGCAGCATCAATGATTGATCTCGTTTGTGTGCCTTCTCTCAGAACAATCTTATCTAAGGATTACTCATTTGCAGCTTTTTATTGTATCCAACTTCGGATAAAGTGCAAAACCCTTTGTTTCTACTGCACCAGGCTGTAGAGGATTTTTTTGTACACAATTAAGATTTACCATAATTGTCTTTGGAAACTGTTGATGAATTACTGTGTTGAATGTTTCCTGCTTAGGATCTTCTTGAATTTTACCTCCTATGCAGTAACCAGGGATTTGCAGAATTGAGTGGGTATTAATTAAGAGGAAAACCAATTGTTTTATTATCTCAAAATATTGCTGAACTGGGTCTAATAGCAATAAACATCCATGCTGATGGAGCTGTGATGGGGAAACATAGTCTGTGTGAATTTTATTTGAAATCTGCAGCTCCCATTCCTATTGCAATCTATTTTCAGTTGTGTTAAAGTGTTACAACTGCTATGAACAAGTAAGGGTATGCTTTCATTCCAGATGCATCTAACGTTCAAAATTTTGGGGCAATACTCAATATTTTAATTTTTTTTAGTTTTTTGGTATGCTTTTCACCCTAGTTTCTCTCTTGGCAATTGAAGTGTTTGTTGATTTATCCCTACCTTTCCAATATTTGGAGTTTACCAGAGCCTTTATTTAGAAACAGCCAACACTAGTAAGAAGACGAAATTCCCTGGGCAACAGGAATGAACAGAAATCATCCATTGATAAATCCTGAGGTGAGACCATAGGTAGGGTTGTAGTGTTATACAGAAGTAATCACAACCACACACAATTGATTCTATTATTTTACATCCATTCTGTAATAAACTTCCAACTTCCTCATTTAAATTTACATTTGGGGGTTGTTTTTAATTTATTTATTTTGATGTTTGGACTTTATGATCTTTTTCCAACATTAATGATTCTGTGATTCTATGACTGGTTTTGTGGTTTAAACTAAAGGCTTCTTTGTAAGAGCTGCTTAATTTGATGAGGCTTAGAAAGGCAAAACTTGATTTGGAAGAGAAAAAAATGATGTCTCACACTTGCAAACAACATGCGGACCCGCACACGCAGAGAGACCCGCACGCTCCAGCTGCCCCCACAGCCCTGCCCGGGCGCAGACAGACAGTTCCGCCGCGGTCCGCGCCGCAGCCTCACCTGGCTCTACCAAATACCCCAGCGTGGGGGTGAGCGCCTTTTCCTCTCAGACAGGGGCTGAAGAGAGACTTTCTTTCAAGTGTCAGCCCGCTGAAACATGGATTAACGCGCTGCAGTTTAAAAGTCACCCCAATCTGCACGGCCGATCTGCGGTTTAAAGGGGCCTTCATGCAGGAGGGGGTGTAGAAACCCCCCTGCAGTTCTTTCCGGCGTGGACTATCCCGATCCCTGCCTGGCCGCCCCTCGGGCCGCCGCGGTTCCCCGGCCCCGC